CCGGGGGCTCTGCCCCCCCCTTTTCCCCCCCCCACACCCCCACACACACACACACACACACACACACACACACACACACACACACACACACACACTTTTAGAAAATCTAGAAAATCCACAAGCCACACTTCCTTCCACGTAACTGGTTACTCCAGGATCCAACAAACAGAGAACGTGGGCAGACGCCTGCCTGCCTGCCTGCCTGTGAGCAGCAACCTGGAGTGGGTGCCATTGTTCCCCTATCATCCCCAGAACCTGCTTGCCAGCGAGCTGTCCTTCTGTGCTCATCAAACAGGAAAAATCTACCTAGAACCACGCAAATGACCTTTGACCACTAAAACAGAAGTGAGGCACAATGACAACATGCTGAGCGGAACTTAATCACAGAAACTGGAGAGCATTCTGAAGTTAAGGATGCTCGGCTCCACCTTGCTCACTTCGGGGATTAGGAGACACCTCAGAGGCTGCTCACCTGCCCAGGCACAGGACAAGGGGCTAAACCATATGCACTCCCAAGAGCCTCTGCTACTGGCTCTGGCTACCACTGAGAAGTGTCCTCTAGTATGGCCACCTGGCACCACCCAGCACCTCCTTTCTGTTTGTGAGATTTAAGGAGCAATTCTGATGGACTGGTCACCACCCCACATCAGATCTGATTCACAGAGGACTCACCCACGCTGCACTTGCTGATCCTGCCAGGCAAGACCTGGGTGCGCCCATCCCCATGTTTTCAATCCATCTACTGAGTCACGTGATACCTACTGTCAAGACCTTAGTGGTAACTGCACAATGGTCTGAGGGCTGTCATGCCTTCTTGCCATGGCATAAAGCCCATCTGTAAAGTGGCAGGTGTCCTCGCCTTTGCGATTTCTGTATGGACTGCATGTCCCACAGAACCCTGCTTTAATAAACTCACTGATGACCTGCATGAGAAACTACCTCTGCTGATGAAGATGCAATGAGAAACCCACTTTATTTCCTAAGCTAGGTTTCTTGGGCCGGACAGACATCTTTGGAGTGAGGACTGGGCTATGTCCTGGGGTGCTCAGCAGAACCTCTCATCTCTGCCCACTAGATGATGCTAGATTCCCCTCCCTTAGCTGTGCCAGCCGCAGATGTTCCTGGGTACCACTGTATCTCTAGGGCATAAAACTGGCCAAGTTTAAGTACCACTTTCTAGCAACTGAGGAACAGCGTGTGCCCCCTGCCCCCACCACTGCAGAGTATTTGTGTGCAGTAAGACAGACCAGGAACACTTGCCCTTGGGAGGGTGGGAGGGTGTGTGGCTGGCAGGCTGGTGGAGACTTGGCCCACACCTTATTGCTCTTTGGCCAGGAGTACCTCATACCCTGGACTTGAGCATCCTTTACCACCCATTCTCTCACACACACAAGCTGAGCATCACGTGGCATTTGCATCTGACAAAGGGGGTTGTATTTACCGCTAGCATGAATGACTTGTTCATAAGTCACCTACCACAGGGTCCCTGGGCTGGGATTCCATGTTTTGGGAGGCTCTCAGAGAAGCAGTTAAACACCTACAGGGATTCCCCGAGACTCCCAGGCTCTGTCTAAATGAAGTCTCTTGGGATAAAGATTGTTAGTCTCTATGATACTTTTCCTTAATGTTTTTTTGTTTGTCTGTTTGTTTTTCCAATTCTGGGGCTTGATCCCTGGCTCCCTTGGGTGCTCAGTATGCTAGGCAAACACCCTACCACCAAGCAATCTCTCTAACCCTTCAACAATGTCATTCTAAAATATTATAGGATGACACCATCAACTAGTTTTTTACCAGCCACTCATTTGCTCTCTGACCGCAGGGACTTCTGCTACCTCCTAGGTCCATCCAATGACAGGAAAGAACACTGTCTGTACTGCAGGGCCCAGAAGACTGGAAGGGGTTGGAGCATGGGCACCCCTACCTCAGGTACATCCCAATGGCATAGGCGCATAGGAAGGAGTAATCCAGGGCTCCAAGTAGCTGCTGGTAGTTATTCTTATCTGTGTGGGTTTGAAAATCAACAGAAGGGCTCAGAATTATTTAGTATGTTCTCGAGTTGCACTGTAAAATACAAAACTTATATTCTTCAAGTCCCTTAGAAACAGAGGCCCTCTAATTTCAAAAACACGTGGTAGCCCAGCTGCTGGCCAGCTTCTTATGGCAGAAAAATGAAGCCACTTCTTTTTCAAGTCATCCTTGAATGTGTCCTTCTGACTGGATGCAAACCTCACTGGCTGTGGGGGGTTTGACTTTTGCATTTCCACGTCACCTGGCTGGCGTGTGGCACCCCTCATCAGATTTTGCTTGGCAAGCTCTAACCTCCAGGTGTGACAGGCACACACTGCAGGCAATCTTCTAGAGACTTCCCAGCACAGACATGCTTACTTAGGGGGTGGCCCCTCTGCATGTAGGCACCAGAGATCTGGTGGTTGCTGAGTAATGTTTGCTAGGGAGCAGTTGTCACTGAAACACACTTACACTTGAAGTTAGCAGCACTGTCCTGAGACCAGCCAGGCTGTAGGAACACCAATGGATGGCTGTCAAGATCCCTGGGCAACGTATCATTTGACCAAACTCACCGAAGGGGGCCCAGCCACAGTCGGTCTCGTTGTTCAGGAGCCAGTGGGTGGGTCCATGCCTGGTACTGCTGCTCGGGCCACCGAATCTGGGCTCAGGCTCATCCCCTGCAGCACACTGCTTATGGAGCTCACCCTACAGCAGACAGGGATGGTAGGACAGGAAAAAGAGTTTACGTGGGATGCTTCAACCAGGAAAAGTGGCTTCCCCTCCTCACAGAGCAATGGCTTTTTGAGGAGGAGGAGGCCTCTGGTAGGCAGAGACGTGGGAGGTTCACAGGAGTCCCTGCTGCAGGCATTAGGCTCCAGCAGCATTTTGCAGTAACTCCAGTTCATGCCCTGAGCCAACCCAGCCTCTAGAGACAGCATCAGGCAAGAGAGTGCCAAGCTGAGGGCCAACTGCCAGTCCTACTTGAAGGTCTGTCCCTGGGGAAGGAAAGGGTTAGGTGCTAGATGCTGACAACTGAATACTGAGGGGATGTGTCCATTGATGACAACTGAATACTGAGGGGATGTGTCCGTTGAGAAACAGTTTATGCCAAAGCGGTGTCCTTTGCAAACATTTACTGGATTCTCTTTCAACCCACATTTTCTCTCTCTCTCTCTCTCTCTCTCTCTCTCTCTTTCTCTCTCTCTCTCTCTCTCTCTCTCTCTCTCACACACACACACAGACACACACACACACACACACACACGGAAGAACTAACCAGTTAAAAGAGTGTCAAGGCTGGTGAAATGACTCAGCAGGCAAGGGTGCTTGCTACCAAGCCTGAGGACCTGAGTTCAATCCCCAGGACCCAGGTAGAAGGAGAGATCCAACTCCTCCTTTTGACCACCCAATGCACCTTTCCCACTTATAAATAAATGTGTGGTGCACTTGCACACCTTTAATCACAGCACTTGGGAGGCAGAGACAGGAGGATCTCTGTGAGTTTGAGGCCAGCCTGGTCTACACAGCAAGTTTCAGGACAGCCAGGGCTGTTACACAGAGAAACTCTGTCTCAAAAAACCAAAAGAAGACAGTGGATCCTAGCTATGGATACCCTAACCTTTTACTCAAAAGGCTCCCTGGGAATCTTTGTGTCATCAGCTTGACTTTGGTAATTCCTGTCGGCAGTCACATAATTTCATTCACTTGTCACAATTTTCTCAAACTTTCACCTACTGAATGTGTGCCTGTACTTTGGCTTCTCTTTGGGTCAGTATAAGCAATGTCGCCATAAAGACATTTACATTAGATGGGTGTGGTGGGACATGCTGGAAGAATGTACTCAGATGTCCGAGCAGGGTTGCGATGAGTTTTCAAGGCCAGCCTGGGTTTCATAGTAAAAAACCCTGTCTCAAAAATAGATAAAATAAAAATTTCCGAGGGCATTGGGCTGTTATGCATTTCTGAGCTGTGGTGAAGTGAGGCATTAGGGGGGGGGCTGGGCAGGATATGTGACCCACCCTCAAATGATCCAATTCCTCCAGGTAGACCTTCCTTCAGGATTTGGCCACCCCCAATGGTCTATTCACACCTGCATCCAGCCCATCACTGACCGGTCTCATCTCCTGGGCATCACGCAGCCATCAAGTTGACAAGCTGACCCAGCCAGGCAGCAGCTGAAGCCAGTTGGTACCTCATACTTTCTATTCATTCTATTCCGGGTGTGCCCGTTCTCAGGCAGCAGTCTAGTACTTTAGTTACTTCAAAATGCATTAATTTTTATATCTTTATTAAAATGTTACCTTTTACACGTTCCCTAGTGATTCCTTTTCTTTCTTTCTTTTCTTTTCTTTTCTTTTTTTTTGAAATAGGATCTCACTAAGTAGTTCCAGCTGCCCTAGAACTCACTATGTAGACCAGGCTGACCTTGAACTCAGAGATCTGCTTGTCTCTGCCTTCTGAGTACTGGGATTAAAGGTGTGCACTGACACACCAGCTTTTGGTGATTTATTTTCTTATTTTTTCAATTAATTTATTTTTTAAAAATTGCATTGGTGTTTTGCCTGCATGTGTGCCTGTGTGAGGTATAAGATCTTGGAGTTAGAGACATTTGTGAGCTGCCGTGTGGGTGCTGGGAGTTGAACCTGGGTCCTCTGGAAGAGCAGTCAGCGCCCTTACCTACTCTCCAGCCTGGTGATTTGTTCTCATCTCTTCATATAAACTTTAGGATTATTTTATTCAATTAAAAATTGGAGAAGGGGAAAGGGTCAAGATCCCCTGAGCAAATTGAGAGCACGGGAAGAGGGGGGAGGGAGCTACGAGAATGAGAAGGGAAGAAGAGGAAGGATGCAGAGGTCATGAGGGAGCAGAAAGGTTGAGTCAGGGGTAGATAAGAAGAAAGGATATGTGATAGGTAGGGTTTTAGTTGGGAGAGTGGTAGGGAAGGACAGGAGGGAGAAGGGAACTGGGATTGTCATGTAAATCAATCTTGTTTAAAAAAATCTGAAAATAAAATAAAAATTGGCTGGGTGTGACAGCGCACACTTTTAATCCCTGCACTTGAGAGGCAGAGACAGGTGGATCTCTGTGAGTTAGAGGCCTGTGTGCTGTACTTGGTGAGTTCCAGGCCAGCCAGGGGCTCATCCTGGGACCTTGTCTATAAAGGAAATCAATCTCTCAGAGGTTTCCCCAAGTCCACAGGAAACACTGGAATTTGTTTTGGTTGATTGTTTGTTTGTTTTTGAAGATAGGGTTTCTCTGTGTGGCTCTGTAGACCAGATTCTCCTGCCTCTGCCTCCCAGTACTGGGATTAAAGGCGTGGGCCACTACCCCTTGACCTTTAGGAAGCACTGGAACTTTTCAGAAAGCACCTTTCCTTGACAGCTCTGACCCTTTCAGCTTTTGTTTTCTGTTTGCCCTGGGGTTTTCACCGTTTTCAATTCTGTGCACTAAGAGGGCTGTCTACACACACCCTGGGGAACCCTGCAAAAACAATCCTTTGGGAAACCATCTGTTTACAGGTTCTGTTCTGGCCCAGCCTGGAGGGAAGTCCCCCAAAGCTCCCCTCCATGGAGACACAGACCCCGTCTGTCTACCAGCCAGGGAAGACATCTGCCTCAAATAAAGATGCCTGGCTACAGGTGGAGGATCATGGGAAGGAACAACATTGTCCTCCTAGCCTTAGATTTATCATTGTGTTTTTAAGGTACATTTGTTTTTTTTTTAAATCGGAGAAAATAAAAGCAACCAGTGATGATTCAGGGCAAGTGTAACCCTGATTGACCCAGCACCACTTGACAAATGAGTCATGATCACTGGCGAATCACCCTCGGCTCATTCTCAGCCTCAGGGTCCATGTCCAGTAAGCAAATGTATTTCCAGTTTTGTTTATAACCTTCTGGGAAACACAGACTGCAAATGTGATTCATGGGGTCCCTGATAGAACCATTCCCATCCCTGGTGCCATTTGTGCCGTTTACAGCGGGAGCCGAAGTGAGCGCATGCTTCTGGAGGCTCCGTGATACCTAAATCAAATGTGGAGACAGTCTTGTCTGTATCAAGAGGCAAAGCAGCCTGCAGGACTCTGCATCAGGCTAATGCGTACACAGGTGCACTGGAAACCATGGTGTTAAAGGGAGCCACACAAGATGCTGACCATATGCAAGTAATTAACTGTCTTGGAGACTCTGGGCCAGCACTGTCAAGAGCAGAGACCTGGGGCTGGAGAGATGGCTCAGCAATTAAGAGCACAGGCTGTTCTTGCTTAGGACTCTGGCTTGGTTCCCAGCACCCACATGGTGGCTCACAATTGTTCACAATTCCAGTTTCGGGGTATCTGGCACCCTCTTCTGACCTCTGAGGGCACCAGGCATGCATACAATGCATATACGTACATGCAGGGAAAACACTCATACACATAAATAAAAATAAATAAATCTTAAAAAGATAAAAGAGGATGAATGTGGAAGACACTAACATGAGCTCACTTAACTCCAGATGACACTCCCAGGGCTGCTGTGAGGTCCATATTAGACAGTAATCACAATAGAACATTGGTTATGGAATTGTGCTTGAAGCTAAAACACCTCCTTGAGAAACCCAGAGGCTCCAATGGTGCCTTTTAGACACCTAAGGCAAGGAGAGTGTAACGCTGGGCCATGTTCACACCCCTTCCTGGCAAAACCCTCGGGCTTATCAGGTAGAGTCCAAGGGTCAGGTCATGCCCCAGTGACCCTCTACTGGCCAGTCCCATCTCACTCACCACACCTGTGACAAGTGACTCTGTGGTGACACTCTACCTTCTATGAGGAACCAGAAGTGGTTCCTCCCCCACCATGCAGGCCCAGCCCTTCTAGCTGAGTCCTGGAAGCCCCAGCAAGGCTCCCTGACTGCTTGATTCCAGGTCTTCAGCGCTCACCCAGGCCCTTGCAGGGGTGGCCAGCCGTTTGCCTTTTGTGCTTTGTCTCTGTCTGGAGCCGTGTGTGAATTTCTCTAAGCAGGAAGAGTCATAGAGACAGCATTCAAACTTCCAGGGTCAGTCACTGGTGCCCATGTCAGAGCCCCTCTCACTCTCACACACTTCACAAAACACACACACACACACACACACACACACACACACACACACACA